GCGTATGTAAGAGTGTTTCTCGTGGCGTGGTTATTTTTGTTAAATATGCAGAATGAAAATGCCGTTAAATTTTGTCTAGAATAAAGTGTAGAGTAAGGCTAACAAATTTCTGTAGTTAACGACTTGTTTCATGGAAAAGACCTTGCCCCGAAGAGCATACTGAACTACATCTTTTCTTACCCACTTTTCCATTCACTCCTACTTCATTATAAAAAGGAAAATGGTAACTTAAACTGTAATTAACTTACTAATGCTAATAGTTTGTCTTCAGCTCACAAAAGCAAAGAAATTGGTTGTCTAAATTCTCTATGCAGGTTTTGTGCTACAGGACCATAGAAAAGTAGTTAAAGTTCTTCAGATATGATTAAAAAAAAAAACCTTGTTGGTTTTTTTATTTTTCAATTTTTGTTTTCTCTAGACTCAGAAAATCCATCTACATAAATGATGGACTGTATAGTTGCAATGACTGTAAAGTTATACAAACATATTCAAGCAAAACTTTGAGAAGGTCACCTCAATAATGTTGAGCAGTAAAGCTGCGGGACACGAATAATCTCAGTAAAGTGGATGACGACGTGAGTGGGACGCTATGCACTGTCCCATATCAGCTTGGCTGACCTGTTCTCCTACTAGAACCAACTGCTTTAAAATTTTCTTCTACATCTCTCTTCTGTAAGTGTGTTGTAGGTATCCGTAAAACCCCTAATTTTTTTTTTTTTAAAGGTATCTTTGTGCCTGAAGATGTAGGGACTAAATACTTTTGGGAATGGCTTTCCAAAGCTTGACCTCTTGTATAAAGATGTCCTGAGCACAGAAAAATCTTAGAGTATAGCTCACCTCATTTACATTCTGAGAATTTGTATTTTCAGACCTAAAACCATGATCTTACCTTAACTCTAGCAAATTCATGCGCAAAAAAGCAATTAATAGGCTTTGTTGTTAATGATACTTATTTCTGATAGATTCAATGTTAAGGTGTCACTGAGTGGACATTTTTTTTTATATTTGTTCTTTTTTTTTTCCCTGTTTAGACAACGAACTGGCTTGAGTTTTCAATCAGCTGGCTTTTTAAACTCTTAGTTTAGTAAATCTAAATCCATATGAAAGAAAAATTACTTTACTGGATATTAAAAATATTCTTTTAATTATTTGTCTAATGCTCCTTAAAGCTTTCATTTCAGTAGACACTATTTCCCCAATTTTTTATTTCCCAATTTTTTTTATTCCCCAATTTTTTATTTCATTTCAGTTGACACTATTTCCCCAATTTTTCCAAAAATTTTGGAAAACAAATTTTTCAAAACAAACAAAAACAATGTTTGTTGCATTTTTGACTTCTGATATTAATACATGTCTTCAGGTATGGAAGACTTAAGCCTAAGACTTTGAAGTCTTATGCTGTATTAATCCTGAGCACGCATAACACTAATTTAAAGTTTTAAAGGCCTGTTTCTGTACTTCCAAAACTAATTTTTGACTCCGAGATAGCAGAGGCTAGGAAATGACAATTGCTTGTCTGTCTGTTGAACAGCAGATTTTTTGCTAATCCTTCAATATTATTTGACAACAGTAGACATTAGGACTAAAGAATTGACCTAAAATTAGAGAGATGTTATTTTGAATATTTGTCTTTCTGGTGTTACCTGTGGACAAACATTTTGGGTTACAGCTTGTAAATCTGCCTGCATGCCTGTTTTGTTGGTGCTCAAACAGGCTCCCTACTTGAAATTCATGGGCAGCTCTCCTTCAGAGCCGGTATCGCAATCTGTCCTTGTGTCATTTTGCAGATAGCATCAATCTATTTCTGCCAGCTTTAAAATACCGTGTTGACAGAGAAGTTCAGCAGCTTTCCACTGTTTTGCAGTACGTTAATGGTGCTGCAATGTTTATTTGTGAGTAGTAAGTTCAAATGTCATCATATAAAGACTTCAATGTGTTAAAGACAAGGCTTATTAAAAAAAAAAAAAAAAAAAAGGGGGCTAATTTTGGGTTCCTGGGTTTTAATTTAGGCAATAAATTCATCATATAAAAACTTCAAAGTGTTAAAAACAAGGGTTATTAAAAAAAAAAAAAAAAAAAGGTGGCTAGATTTAGGTTCCTAGGTTCTAATTTAGGCAATTAAGTAGGTGGCCCAGACTTTCAAAAGCATTGAACACCTTGTTGTTACAGCTGTGGACTCTTTATTATTGAGAGCTTTAAATGACTTGGTCAACACTTGTTGGAGAAACATCTTCCCGTTATGACAGTTTCTGGCAGGTGGGTTGTGGCGTCAGTAATTGCGGCTAACAAGGGCAGCCGTGTTTTGGCTGGGTTGTGAGGAGAATGAGATTGTCGCATGTTGTATCGTTGATTTGGCTCGTTGGGTTTCCAGTCTTCAAATGTGTGATGCTTTACAGCCAAGTCTTAGGGTCAGGTAGCTTCTATTCTCCGGGTGATACAGTAGAAAATTTTGCTATTAAAAAAATCAGGCATCTGGAAAGCTGCTTTGGTTTGTAATCAGATGCAGCTGAAGTTACTTCTTGCAGCCCGTTTTGATCTTGAGATGAGTTGGTAGAGTTACGGCTGGTTCTGTATCTGTATGTGAGTTTGGTTGTCTTTACTCCTTCTCTTGGCACGTTAAGTGGTGCTTGTATTGGCAGATGACTAGGCAGTGAAGGACTGAATGTAGCTAGAAAACTGGCTGACAACTTTTTGCAAAAGATCTAGAGATCCTGCTGTTCCAGTGTAGGGGGTTTATATTGTTTGAAAACAACAGGAGCATGGTGATGAGGTGTCAGATGAGCACAAACACAGTTATCCGGTTAGCAATTATCTTCTGTTTGTGAGCGCATTAAAATGCTGGTCCTGCAGCCTCGAACGGGCTCAGGCTTTCGCTCCGTGTGTGAGTGGCTTTGTCAGGACAGCGGCACTGCTCTCGTGGCTCTGGCGCTAAGTCGCGCGAGAGAGCTGAAAGAAAATAGGAGCGTGTTAGGATGGTGCCTGTGTGATACCTGGACTGTGAATTTGTTTGGGCACCGTGGTTATGGATAACAATTTAGTGTAGAACTTGTTTATGCTGAAACCCCACATTTTAATTAACCTATGTAAGTTACTAATGTAGGAATGAAAATAGGAAAGTGAGCTTTTAAAAAATAAGTGAATCATGTATTTTGGTAAAAAATAGGTAATTTTTTTTTTTTAATTTGAAAATCATTTCTCTCCAGACGTGGATAGCACTATGTCCGTGCTAGCATTTGATCCCGCAAGATGCCTCTGCGTGTTCTGTAGCATGCCTTAGCTGTGACAGGCTCTCTGCATTGGAGGGGAACTATCAGAGGGTGGAGGTTTTATTTCTGATTTCTTTCTTCCCGCTACTTTAAAAAGCGATTTAAAAGACTGATTAATTTCAGAAATTGTCCAGCTTGCTTATGCCTTGTACACAAGTTGCTTGGGAGGAAAATAATAAAAAGAATGGATGAAGCAACTCAAAATTACTTCACAGCCCAAGAAGCACTCTGAAGTAACAGAGAGATGCTGAGTGTATTCCAGTCTGCAGGAAATATTGACTGTATTAACCGTGACTCAAAATCGTCTGCTGAGCAGGTGAATTACATGACAGTTAGTAAGCACACACGGCAGGGACGTGCACTGTCTCTGCAGAATTACTTGAATGCAAGTTCCACCGTGTTGTATGTTACGGAGCCTGTTTGCTCAGTGATATGTGCATGTATTTCATTAATAAGACTCAAGCAGAGCTCCATATAATCTCTACTGCTGTGGCAGTGGGCGACCATACGTTTCTGCTGTGTTTATGACAGTCCGTCTAGGAACAGTCGTGTTTGTCCAGCTGGGAACTGCTCTGGGTTGAGAAGACCTTCTGGAGTGCTTGTAACACTGACTGAAGTTCCCTAGAGAGACCAGCTTTCAAGATTTTAAAGGTAGTGTCTGGAAATCTTTGTTTCTCTTTGTGGTTTGTTTTTAATAGGAATTTTTTACTTTGTATTGGGAAGATATTTGCCCACAGATATATTTCTTTTAGTTGGTGTGAAAGGAGAATATGCTAGATGTATTATTACAACAACAACAAAAAAAACACCCTATGTATTTTTAGATGAGAAATCAGCTTTTTAAACTGTCTTGTTTTCCACAGGCAGCCAAAGGTCTTGCAAGCTTACTCATACTAGGTAGACCAAGTGATTTCCCTGAAAGACTGGCAACCTTGTCATAACTTAGCAGCCTGGGCATCTCCCTTTCTGACTTGGTAGCATCTGATCAACTAGGAGGAGAAATGGTAGTTTTTATTTACTGTTCTCAAAAGTGGTTTAGGGTTTTTTGCCTACTCTGGTTAATGTGTGCAAAACAGTATGTGACTTAGGAGACCTCCAAATGATCCTGCAAATACTGCAAGAAAGCCAGAAGCTAAGACTGTCTTTGGTTTTGATTTTTGTATGGTTTGTTGGCTTTCTTTTAATCAACCAAGCAGCACATGTTCCTCCTTTAAGACCTTCCATTCCTTATTTAGAAGAGCAGCTTTGTATGCCATAAAAGAGACTTACACTACATAAGCCTTTTTTTTTCTTTCAGTTCTCATCTAGGTTGTTAAGTTCTCTAAAATATTTACTTTGCCTAAGATTGTGGACCCATTCAATAAACGGTAGGCTGAAATGTGATTTTTTTTTTATTTGTGTAGGACTGGGAAGAATACATAGGATGTTGTATTGAGCAATGACAGTCACAGTAGCTAGTGTTCAAGCAGTGCTGTTTTATGTGCATATGGTCCAAATTTTGAAATGTACCAGTCTTCAAGCGTAGCGCTTAGGTGAAAGAGATAGTAAAGCATTACTGAACTATACATCTAGCTTACCCTTTTAAAGCATTTGTAGATTTTTTTTTTCTTCCCATGAATGATAATGGAAAATACATCCTGGGAAGAGAGAAAATAACCCTAAAATCAATGTGTATGTCTAATATATTTCAGTTTAATGCATGGTGATTTTTTTTCTCTCTCTCTCTCATTGCAGGAGTCTCCAAGATGAATACTACAGCAATGAGCCCACTCACTGTTACTCCACTAGGTTTTATTCCAGACTTAAAAAATGCCACCCTTGTGCCTTTCAATGAGACTGCATGTGAAAACTGGAAAGAGATTCATCATCTTGTTTTCCATGTGGCAAATATTTGCTTTGCAGTTGGACTGGTTATTCCAACTACTCTGAACCTTCATATGATTTTTCTGCGAGGCCTGCTCACCATAGGTAGGAGAATTATTCTGGAGAGATTTGCGACTTTCCTGTGACAGAAATAGCAGTTTGCGACCATTACGGAGCTGGTCCCTTCAGCTTACGGTGAAGTTACAGCCCATATTGATGGTCGTTGTACTCTGCTGAAGGTATTTTTGGTGTAAGTGGGGGTCTATTCTTACCCTGACATATCTTTTCTAGAAAGGTTATGTGTGCCTAGGCTCTTAAAATTTCCCAGGAATTTAACTTAGTTTCAAACCTATGAAGATGTCAACTTGAGAACAAGTGGACCCTGTTTACTTCAGATGTGACTGGCTGCTTAAAATTCATTAAATTCCAAATCACAGTTAAGTCTATGGATCGTTAAGACCTTAATTTTAGGTTTCAAGTAAGTACTGGGACTGTCTGTTGGCTGGTGCACCTGCTGCAGTAGGTGAGGTTTTCCTTGAGATGCTTGATGTCAGCCCCCATGTTCTTTAAATGTGGGTTTAAACATATGGCACTTGTGGGTCACCAGCCTTATTTTCATTGCCGATTTAGAAGTGCAGGCTTTCAATATGGAGTGCAGTCTGTGTTCTCCTGAAGTCAGTCATATTTCCTCCACCACTATAGGCATCTTGCAACACCAAAATTGGACTTCAGAGGAAAAACTACATTTGGCATACTTGAGACTGAGCAAGCATGGTGTCATTTGTAACCCTCTTGTGGTCCCACAGCTATTTCAAAGCCCCTGTACTTTGTGTGGGACAAGGTCTTTGTGATCAAAGGAGAAGTAGTGAGTCATTGCAGTGTAAGAAAGATAAACCCGAGTGTATCACAACACAGAGCATGCTTAAGTATTTTTAAGGGAGAATGCTTATTATTATCTATAGTACGGGTCAATTCTATGATAAACTTCTATGGTTCAATTTACAATGATCTTGCCTTTTCTTTTTTATAGCTATTATAGGATAACTTATTAAAACAGACTGCACTGATGACAAGGGTCTGAGCATTGCAAGACCTATTGTCTGTGTAGTTCTTATTTTAAAAAGCAATGGGAGCTCTGCACTTGCTGAGCTTGACACTTTGGTCTGTAGGTCTTGTTGCAGTTTGAGCAGATATGGAATCAGGGTTTGGCAAGCTGAGGTGGCAGCTGGAAGCAAATTTACTCTGTGGGCAGCATAAGTAATGAAGCCTGGTTCCTAGGGATCTGTCCCCTTTGCTTTGATGACCCTGCCCCACCTCTGTGCTGCTCCACAATATTGCTCCTCTTAAATACTTCCAGACCTTGTATCCTCCCATCCCTTGTAGTCTAATTAACCAGCTGATCAAGAGTCACCGTATTTTGGCTTTTCTGATCTGTATGTAAGTGCTGCCTGGCCAGTCAACAACCCAGACAGAACAGATAGTACTGAGTTCATGAATTCAGCATTATCTTCAGGGTGAAAGGGGGAAGGGACGCTAATTTGGCACCTTCTCCTTGTTGTCTTTGCACAAAACTTAAGGGAAAATGTATCTGTGACCTCTACAGCCATCTCTATCAGACAGTAGGCTCACAGTTATCTGGGAGAGACTCACTGATGCATAATCTATCATTTGATAAGTATTGTCTTCGTAGGCTAAAAATAGAATACATAATCATACAGCATGCCTTATCTTTTAAAGCAGTTGTCATTGTTCAAAGTAAAGTGACTAAAAAAAGAAATTTTCTTTGTTGTACAAGAGAATCCAGGTTCTTGCTGTGACCTTGTCAAAATGCAGCAATGATACTTCCTTTAAATTTTCAAAAATATCTGCGTGTGACTTAAACTTTTGTGCAACTACTGCTCGCTAGTTGGATATGAATGTTACTGATATGAACAACAACCATTCATTTTTAGGGTCTTGTTTGCTAATTAATGCAATACTAGTAATAAAGTTTTATGAGCTGCTTAATTTTTGTGGATTGATTGGTTTGGTTTTTTGTTAGCTTTTTTTTTTTGTACTTAAGATACAGTTTTTGCTGATCCCATTTCTACTTCATTTTAGTAACAGGCCATTGTGGGCTGCACCTCTCTGCTTTCCCCAGTCCTGATCTGAATTATTGTTGCTCCAGTATTGCAATAGGACTGCAGTCTGCTGTTAGCCTGCTCTCGGTGCCTGTTCGTAGCCTTGTAGTGGATTAGCTCATGCTGCCAGTGCATGCATTGATCCACAGAGCCTAACTGTAGTAAAGCTTGTAGAATATATTGCTTTTCAGTGTAATTACACCCAGTGGACACATTCTTGATGGCTTTGTACGAATGTGTTTATTGTTCAGTGAAATTTAAGTTCCTTTTTTTTTTTTAAATTTTTACAGGATGTGCATTGTTCATCATTTGGGCTACACTCTACCGTTGTGCCTTGGACATAATGATCTGGAATTCTGTGTTTTTGGTTGTCAACCTCTTGCATTTCATATACCTAGTGTATAAGAGAAGACCGGTATGTATAACTACTAAATTGCACAAGCAGTCTAGTAAGATGCAAGAAAAAGGAAGTTTTGCCCATGTTTGTTAGACAAACCAATGAATTACACAGCAGTTCTTGAATTACACAGCAATTCTTTTGAACAAAGTCAGTTAGCTACTTCAGGAAGGATCCAGACCATAAGTGTGATCTGATGCAGTGCGTAATTATTTTCCTGAAATACATATTCTTGAAAAATGATTTGACTTTAGAAGTTACTATTGGCTGGTTGTGGCTGTTGTGTTTGGTTTTGGTGGTAAGGAAGGGGTTACATAGTTTCTTTGCAGAGAGACCAGAAATGGTAGTTTGGAGGTTGTGTGTGTTTGGGCTTTTTTTGTTTGTGTTGAGTGGTTTTTTTTTGTCGTTTTCACCAGCCACAAGCATACATGCATACAGGTGTTCTGAAGTAAAATCCTACCAAGATACTTAAAATTGAGCATTCCAGGACAGTAATTTTTTTACATTAGGGGTTTGTGAGGGATCAAACTTTCCTACCTTGCTTTTAAGTCTTGAACATCCTCTGTGGTGGGAAAGGGGACTGATAAATGACAAGTGCCCTGATAGACTGTTGTTTCAACATGGAAACAAATGCTGATGTCCATTTATAAATGACCTTCACGCTCTTTGCTTTGCTGACAAGTGCTTTAGCCCATATGTTTTGTACTACTACATTCCTTTTAATTGAAAGGAAAGGTAAGTGAGATGCTACTACCCTTTTTTGAACATCTATGTGACTCAGACATAAGCAGCAAAACTGAGTAAGGTGCGGGGAGAGTGGTATTAAGTAAGATGATCCTTCCTTTTATCGCATTTAGTGTATTCATTGAGTTTTGAGGGTCATATCTGGGAATTTTATGACTCCTTTTGTTGCCTTCAGAAGGATGCATTGGGATAACTTTCTTCAAATGCACTTTAAGAATATATTTGAAATGTATACCAAAAATAGAGGAATTTTTGCCCTGCCTTCAGCTAAGTGTATATCCAATAGAAAAATCAATTTATGTTGTTAGTGTTATTCATCCAGAAGTATATTCTGTTTCTGCAAAACTATTAGTAACCCAGCCTTCTGTTGGTATATGCACATCAAAACTAGATAATCTTTAATATAATAATTGCTATTATGTGTCAATCAAATATTAATGAAGTGCTAATTGTTCAAAATGTTAATATTACATTCTGTTGTCTCCAAAATCTAAGGCAGATAGGTTTATAATGTGAACATTACAGGAATATATATGGGGTTACATTATCAGCAGAATATCTCTGCCTTCGCCCAAAATCAGACACATTCTGGAAGTGTGTAACAGCTGGTACAAAAAAAACTGGCTGGAAATAAGCTCTTCACCAAGTAAACACAGCCTGTGCAAGAAAGCAGCTAGGAAATTAGCAACCTCCTCCTTTCCTGGCAAGGCAGCATATAAAGCTTGACTTCTGTCTTGCCTAGAAGATAGCTTAAAAGTAGCTAGACTGATCTACTACTAGACATCTATAGATGTGTAGTAAATATTTCTAGTCATTTAAATTACTCTGAGTGATCTTCTCAGTTAAAGGGTAAGTTCCTCTTTGGTTTGTATTGCTAATGCTATTATTTTAGACTATTCAATCCATTTTTACGTCATCATCAAGATACAGCATCATGGTGAAACTGCACCATATTTCTGCTAGTCAGCCGTGGCCATGCTGCCCAGTGCACCACACAAAATAACAGTTGTGATAATGTGGAGCCAGTAAAGCCAGACTCTACATGTTTGTGTCTGCAGTTAGATATCCTATGCAGGTACTCTGGTCTTTAATATGGGATGAGCTCATGTTGCATTCTTTGCCTTCAATGAAGCCACCAAGTGAGCGTGTTCTGCATCCCCTCAACCGACCCACCGACTTAGCCTTTTAATGTCATCCTGAGGCCTGTAGTCCTTTGTCAGATGGGATGGGAATTGGCTAACAAAGCCAGAAATTATTGCAAAAGGCAGGAGTGCATAGCTGATATAAACTCATTTCCCTAGAAAACCAAGCCTTAAAACTTGTCTGTATCTTTAAAAGTGAGTTGTGGCATCTGTTCTTAGAACACGGGTAATGGTCCTCAGGTTTGTACCCATCCAACCATTTCCAAAATTCTAAATAAAAGGTTATTGGAGAGTGAAGGAGCATCCTGGGAGGGAGACACGCTGGTTTGTGGTTGAGTGTTTAAAAAAAAAAAAAAAAAACAAAACCAAACAAACAAAAAACACCCTTACAATGTGTAAGGTAATGCTGAATGAAGAAGGAAAAAGGTTTTCTTCTGTGACTACAATTGTATACTAAAAGCTATGGTAGTATAGATTGGGGGGTTTTTGTTTATTATAATATAGACTTCATATTGAAGTGCCAGCTATTTTCACTAAATCTAGTAAATTTGTGAGCAGAATTATTTGTAAGTATTTGGATACTACAGTGAAAGAAGTGAATGGAAGTACTGTATAGGTGGGTTTAAAAGAAGGAATTGTGTAAGGACATGAAACTTGACTGATAAACTTTCAGTTACTAAAGTTGGTAGGAAGTTACCTCTAACTAAGAGAGGAAGGATTGGAGGACCTGCCTTTAGCTTTGCTCTCCATTTCTGTACATCTTCCCTGCTGACTCTGGAAGCACAGCAGAATCGAGGTGCTTGGCACTCCCACAGACACTGCACCATACACATGTGGTGCAAAACCACAGCTATACTTATACAGAATAAACTAGAATTCTAGACAGAGAACGCTAGAGGAAATGTAGGAAAATAGACTTTGGTGGACATCTAAAATCCCGTGCAAGTTAAGAATTTCAACTGAAGTAGAGCCAGAGCAAGCTGTCAAAAGAAGAGTTCAGGGAAATGAGAGAAAGCGAGAGATGATAGAAAGGCTGAAATCTTTACCAGTATGGCTAAAAACAACTGCAGAACAAACTCTGATAGGCAACCACAGCCTATAAAAAGAGGCTAGAGGTTAAATTGCACCTGTCTACAACAAATTGATAAATTGAGTACATCTACTTATATGTGTTAAAAAAGGAAGGGTTCTACCTACATCAGTGTTCCTCCAGTATGGAGCACAGATTCATCCAAAGGTTACCATCTGCAGGGCTACATGACCCTTACAACTTAAAGCTTAGCCAAGAATTAGTTCCGATAGATTAGCCATGCAGTGGTGTTTCTTTGTATATTAAGACTTAATGGAAGAAAAATATTGAAATTATTTTAAGTTTAAGAAATTACAGTATTTATGAACACTACATGAAAAATTATACTAAATATTTTACTATTTTATTTGGTGTAATACATAGTATTTTCAGTAATTATTTTTAAACCTCTTTTTTAAAACACCCCCCTACACACCTTAACACTAGTTCTTTTTCAGTTTTAGTTCTCAGCTCACCATCCAACAATGAAATGATACAGAAATATCTCTTTTTCAGAAAGGCCTGAAAGGAAACTCAGTGCAACCTAATTAACTTTTTTCCTTTAGTATTTGTATTCAAGGCACATAATTTGGGCAGAACTTCTAAGAGCGAATAATAGTTGAATTCCATAATAGCTGGTTCTTTGGGTGGGATTGTGGTATAGAAGAACCATCCAGTTTTAGGTGAGTCCAACATAAAGTAGTTTAGTATCTGGTTGTCGCTAGAGTCTACCAAAATACTTCCCATGTCCTAGCAAGAACACCAAACAGTTGTTTGCAACCAACTTGATCCATAGTGTGGAAACTGTTCAGAATGCCAAACTCCTGCTTCTCTGGCTCCTGAATGAAACCAGAGGAGACCAGGGCTTCTGAGGGGGCTGGAGTTCCACCTGTACCTGTAGACAGCAAAACCTTGTGCTCCAGGCACTGATAGCTGAGACACTGTGCTGTTTGATTTTATGCTGGAACATTGAAGGAGCACTTGTACAGCTAGACACCTACTGGGAGGCAAGCTAACTGGTCTGGCATTCACCTGAGTGCAGTCCTGCCACCATATATGCTCATGCTTGACTGTGCCCTGACTTGGATACAACATCATCAGGGGACTTTCCTGGCCAAGGTCCTGGGCTTGTACTTGAGTCCATCAATGTTTAAATAGTCTTTGTGGTGGTGTTTTTCTGATTTTTAATAGTCTAATATGTCTAGTTCTTTGCATGACTCCCATCACTGTATCTGATCGTGGCCTAGGATTCGTGCTTTACTTCAAGGTAATGTGTATACCAGATTACAGTGAATGTAAAACTACTCATTTCACCTTTGTCCCTATATGAGTTTCTGGACTGTAGCTTTTTCTTTCTGTCCATGGCAAAATATAGCATTGTTCTTTAGAAAAGGATGAGGAAAATTTCTCAAACTAAAAATAAAGCATTGGAAAGATCTAATGGAAATTCTGTCTTGGGCAGTGAGAGTACTTACAGTTGTGTTAATGAATGACAGATAATAAGTAGTCGAAGTCAGCTACACTTAAAATAAGTTTCCTGAATATACATGCTAACTCTACGCATCCCACCGTGATCAAAATATGGTCTTCTACCAATTCCATGAACAACAACAGTGACGTAGTTGAACTGTAAGTTTCATCTTTCTTGTTTGGTCATATGAAACCTCTCTGGCACATATATCATAATCATTTAACTCTGATCTTTGTAGATGTGCACACTCTTCTTTCAAAATATGTTTTTGTGGTGGTAAAGCTTACAGCACTTAGATCAATGCCCTCAGCTCCCTACTCCAGATCTTGAATGGAACGAGAGAGCTTGAAGGAACAGTCTTCCATATGGAGGCTTCCTAGACGCTCCTGCTGGTCAAGTCTGAAGAAGTTACTACCAGAAGAGCCACCTGAAACCAAATGTCAGTTCTGTTGACTCTAAAAACAAATGACTGTCTTCACAGTCTCTATAATTTTGGATAGAGAACAAAGTAAAATCATGAAAATGCCACCGCAGATGCCTTTACTTAATCTCTCTCTTTTTTTTCTTCGTCTTCTGCAATATTGAACTGCTTTCTGAAGACAGAAATATGAGGGAAATAGAAACAGTAAAATGTAGGAGTAATATCAAATCCTTTTAACTGGGAAGTGCTCTACATAAGCATTGACTGTTTTCTTAGGTAGTCTCAGTCACATTCTGGTACTTACCCTGAAATACTACATCATTCAGGACATGGGTGCTCCCAGAAATGAAAGGCCTCTGAGAGGAAGCATGTTATATTTGAGTCTAACAATTAAGAGCATTTTCAGAGAGTGCTCTTTAATTCTGCAATAGTAGCTTTGCCTTATGAAATAAAAATTGGAATAATCTTGTCTCACTCCATCCATCTCCAAGTTAAACATCTAGTTTCAGCTAGTTGTCCAATGTGATTCAACCCACCCACCCAGTATCTCTTTAAGATGTGATAGTGGCGTCCCTCTCCACTGGCTAGAGAACAAGCCTACACAACCATTATAAACTACTAACCTAGCTTTATATAGTCATAGTTAGGTGAGATGCAATTCATTGCTGCTCTCTAGCAGTATTGGGGGAGGGGGAATTCCAATTGCTTCATGCTAATCTAAACTGTAATGCAGTGGAGGACTGGAGACTGGCTTGCAGACTTGTATTACTACCACTGCAGCTCTAGTCTGGGAACTGTGGGTAGTCTGCTTCTCTGAAGACTGGGCTCTAAATAGCTAGTAAATTATGTGAATTTAAACAGTAGTTGAAATTACATGGAATCAGGGTAATATCCCAAACAATATATTAATCTTTTTGTTACAGACTGTGATCAGCAAGCTTACTTGAAGTGCTGCCTGGTAGTCACACATGTCTTTTTAGCTGTCTTACACATGTTTATTATGAACTTGAAGGCTGTTTTTAAGTGCTTTTCCTGTAGAAAACTAGAGAATAAATAAAAAAAAAAAAATCACCAAAAACCTTTCAGGAACTAATTTTGCATGAGATTTTCTGTCTGCAAATATTGTATTGCCCATCTCAAAATCAATTTTATTTAGTCATCCTCACAAATGATGTTTTTAAGGCAAGAAAGGAATGGAAGAATAATTACAAGTTAGTCATATTACAAAATGAATAATTTATATGTTCAGTTGAGCATATTTTATTAAATGGAGCAAGCAAAATAGCAGCAAGTTTCTCTTCTGACCAGAAGATTATTTCTGTGGATTTGACTCCTTGGAGCTTTACAGATTTGGCTTTTTTAGTCTGAGTGGAAGCTGGAAGAGTAATCGGTGTCTCTGCAGAGCAGAGCTCTGACTCGGAGCTCTGGCAGCATCCCAGAATATTTCAGCCACTGCTGAACAAAATATTACACCTACCCGTGTGGCTCATTTGGAATATGACCCACAAGCATGACTGGAGAAGCAGTCAGCTGCACTTGTGAAGGGTGAATAGTCTGTTATGAGGGAGACCATCTAAAATATATCTACAGCGTCCAACCCGATCAATCTTTAAGAAAGTGGTTATGCCTGCTTTCCCTTTTATGTATTGTACATGAGAGGAAGACCATGAAACCCGAATTGTGTGCTGGTTAAGGACTGCATTAGCATTCCAGGACCAAATCCTGTCCTCATGCCTGTATGTGTTGTTTTGAATTCAGGAGTCTTGGGAGCTACTTGTACGTTCATTTGAAAAAGGCATTTATCTTTCTTTGAGTTGCAGTGGTCATGTTTAGAAAGAAGTGGAAATTAAATTGGTACGGCTGTTAAAAATAAGGGAGAACCCGTGGGCAAAACAAATTGTTGTCTAACTTCACAGGTATATGGAACATATTTTGAAATCAAACAGTTTAGGGCAATCCCTGATGCAATATCTCTTGCTAGTTTAAATTTAATCTCTTGTTTTGTTTAAATTTGAGCTTTGTTTTGTCCATGTAGGTGTCCTCTGAGGTGTTAAAGATTGTGGCGTAAGGAACATACAGGAAATTCAAAAGCTCTGTTTCATATAAGCGTAGTCACTGGTAGAAGGTGTAATTAGTAATTGATTCAGTGTGAAACCAGTGTAACTTGAGGTCAAGTGACATACTGGACATGCGTAAGTCTGTGAGCCCTGATGGCACGCACCCACGGATGCCGAGGGACCTGGCTGATGTCACTGCGAGGCCACTCTTGGTAATCGTTGAACAATCGTGGCGACTGGGAGAAGTGCCTGAGGACTGGAGGAAAGCAGATGCCACTGCTTTCTTCAAAAAGGGCAAGAAATAGGACCCAGGGAACTGCAGGCTAGTCAGCCTCACCTTGATCCCTGAGAGGCGATGGAATGGCTAATCCTGGAAACCATTTCCAGCCACATGAAGGACAAGAAGGTGTGTGTTTTACATGGAGGCTGGATAAAAATCCTCATGGTTTATAAACTTGCTTTCACTTTTCATGGTTTCAGGCTGTCTGGGTAAAAAGTGAAGTCTGCAGGTTTGGGATATCCTTTTGTTGAGCTTTTGTGGAAATATAAATGTTGAAAAGTCATGAAGTGATAATAGCAAGGTCACGTAAGCAGGCTTCTCTCTCCTGTTTAGCAATTTAATAATGAACTGTATGCTCTTTCTGTGGGACTAACCCACCATCTCTGCCTACAGGATTGTCACTTCCAGAGTGATTCCTGTGGTGTTCAGTGGCCCGAATGTGGGATGGCTCGCATCAGCGATTTAGGCTGTGTGTGAATTACTCCAAACGTGGTTCCATAAATCTAGAAAGTTTCTGCCTCAGCTCAGTTTGTTCTGTGTTTAATTAAATTTGAAACGTAACAAGGAAACTTTCTCAGAATTCCTAAAACTTTTTGTTATGCTTGATTTACTGTTTCACACACACATGTAATTCTACCAAAAAGAGCTCAGGGAGGATTTTTGACGTGGAATACATACATCTCTTAGGGGCTAAAGAGTAATATTTTCACCCTAAAATGCTCTCCTGGGCCAGGAATAGTGACAGTTTGAAGGCATTATGGGCCTCAGACAGCCTGGGGCTTCCCATGGTCACTCTGGATTCCCCACCTCCTCCAGCCACGAGGTGACCAGAAGTTTCTCGATTCCCACTGTTGGCTACCATCAGCTGAAAAGTGGCTCCTGGACTCCTGTGCTGCCGCCTTCTCTCCTCCCCTGTTTTTTGTACTGAAATACATAAAAAAAAATCTAGAAAATTGTGTAAACGTGGAATATTCTCATTTGTTGAAGTGGTGACTCCTTTTCTGCCTTTTTTTCTTGGTTGCTTTTCCTTATTTTCTGTTCTACGTATATTTTATCTTTTCATTGTCTGATGCTTATTGTTCTAATTTGTTTTCCTCCCAGCAAATATGCAGGCTTTGTTCAAGATGCCTCTGCTTTTGGGGAGGCCGGGACACCGTCTCATTCCCTGCTACCTTCATTCAGGAAAGACTTCCAGGCTTGGGATTTCAGCCAAGCTCCTTTCCCTCATCGCTCCTGCCTGCATTTGGGTGGGCTCCTAGATGTGGGATGTTCAGCTGGCAATGGTGTTTTTTTCTTCCCTCATCACACATGGTTTCAATATGATGGGTTTGTTTTTCAAGCCTCATAATACTGCTTTTCTACTGCAAGTAAGCCAAGAAGCTCAGGGATGAAAGGGGCTCCCAGGAGAGCCTGAGAGATGGCCAGAACGAGGCGTGCATATGGTGTGAAAAATGCAGGCAACCTCTTTTTTTTTTTCTTGCGTAAGTCTGGCCGAGGTCCTATTCGCTGTTACACCAACAGAAGTCTCAGAAGACTCCTTGCGTCTGGTTTAATGTGCCACTTGGATGGAATAGCATCCTAAAGCACCAGTGTGCTAGCCTGGCTAGTTTTAGATAAGGTTTTGGTCACCGTCTCATAGGCAGTGTTTGTGGATAGATGTCACACGTTTACCACTTCTGTCCTTGCCTAAACATAACAAAGACAAAGATGTTCCTCAAATGTAGCAACTAAAGCATGCGCACAGTCTTACTCTTTTTTTTAACTAATGCTTCTGTGTTTATTGATGTCTTTTGGTTTTGCATTCTAGATCAAGATAGAGAAGGAGCTTAGCAGCCTCTACAAGAGAATGTTTGAACCTCTCCATGTGCCTCCAGAGCTCTTCCAAAGACTAACTGGACAATTCTGCAACATTCAGAGTTTAAAGACAGGTCAAGCCTATGCTGCATGCTGAAGGGGAAGTAGGTTCTGTAAAACCTGGGGACACTCTTACACTTTGTGTGATGGTTGAATAGCTTAGAAATTTGTTGGGGTTTTTGTTAGTTTTTTAAATGTTACTGTTTGTAGCATGTAATGGTCTATAGCCACAGACTATTTTGTGACACAGTTTTCAAATGTCAGTGATGTCTCTTAGTGGGAGCATATTATGCTTCCACTCGTGTGTGCAGCTGCATGGATCTTAATGGGAATTAGATTTGCATAAGACCAAAGGCAGTGTCTTCCAGAACAAGCAAGAGATTTGTCTGAGTCTTAGATATCTAAGTCGTCTTCGCAGTGCATTCTCAGTTTTTAAGGTTAAAAAATATTGTGCATGAGGGAAGGAAAAAATATCCCTCCAGCAGACTTTAAAACAACAGGCCTGTTGGAATTGGTTTGTTGCACATGTACGTGCAAGGAGAGAGGGGGAGGTGCACTGCCCAGAGGCTGACAGGACCCAGGTGAGAAAGGGTAAAATAAATGCCCATGGCCAGGCTGTAATCCTGAAGCTCTTGCTAAGCTCTGGCCAATAGTTTAACCAGTTTCTGATGATGGCAACAGTGATGTCAGGTTTCATTGTTTTTCTTTGAAGTCATTAGCTGTTCATTACTGCAAAGCTAGTTAGCTAAAGGAAGCCTGATTCTGGTCTGACTGTATAGCATAACCCTGCAGACCTTTTTCATTTTCAATAGCAATGTTCTGAGGCTACACATCACATCTGGCAATTCGAATTGGCTGGAAGCTTGTTCTGCTTGGAATTGGTGGAGATTTAGGCAGAAAATAGGTTAGCTCTGGGGCTGAAATTCCAGAAGATGAACATATTTTTGCCTGTTACCTGCTGCTTTACCACTGTCAATAATCACATCCAAATTTAGATTAAATTAATCAGCCTCCATGACTTTAAAATACTGTTTCATAATTTTTATTTCCAGAATGAAGGTGTCTTATCGAGGGCATTTTCTGCATAATATTTACCCCTGTGCCTTTATAGATTCTCCTGAATTTCGATCAACACAGATGAACCGAGGTGAAAAATTCCAGGTACACTTTGGTTTAAATGTCACTGGATATGAGCTGATGAAATCATTAAAAAACAGTATAAATTTGATCAACAGTGAACTATTTGACTTGCATAATTTTGGTAGTTTTCTAGTACTAGTGTTTCATGATGGACCATATCAAGAATAACTTTGAAAATTAAATGGTGCAAAACAGGATTATAATGGTGTTTGCTAAAGCAGTCTGGCTTTTGCTATTCTGTTCTCTTTTACTGTTTCCAAGTTTATTTTGTATTAAGAGATTATTCAGGACAAATAATTTAAGAGATAGCTTTACTGGAAAAAGAGATGATGTGAGCAGTTTCATCGCTGGTTCAAAAACAGAAAAGGAAAAATAATGATTGTAATATTTGGTGTTACTAAAATGAGAGACTGAAGATTCAGGCACTAGTAGTCTGAAATTGGTATTTATCTAAACGTATTAATGCTTCTGTCATTCTGAAAGTTGTTAAAGCAACATATGCTGAAAGAGATCACAGTATTTTGAATAAAAATATTCGTATGAGGAACAATAAGGGTATATGTCTCTAGCAGTGTAATTATGCTACTACATTAAAGGATATATTATACTATAGCTTGTGGGGAAAAAATACTGTTAGAGAAGTTTTTTTTTTTCACATAGTACTGCGATGGCTATTTTGCCGTCTCTTACTTGTTCTTTTATTGCATAGGGGTAGTAACGACCGGACTGTGGCTGACTGGGTACATCCACATGGATACCCTGGCAGAAGGGGAGGGAGGGAGGGAGGGAGAGCAATGTGTAGGCTCTAAAATCAGTGATTGATGTCATATGTTCCAGTCAAATACTAGGCTTAACGCCAAGGAGAGAGAGTTGTCCAGATGTATTCATTTCGCAGCAGTGAGGCGTCCTGCAGCACGGCCGCCCTCTTGGCACAGCCTGTTCCTCTCGTAAGCGACTGGATACGAATCGGTCCCTCTGAAGGGAAAAGGTTCATGCCTCAGCTTCTGCCTGCCTTAAAAATTAGTGCAATCTGGTGCAGTGTACATCCTTCACTCTTGAGTTCTGCTTGTTCCTGCCATACAAACGCTCTCGGCTTTGCCATTGCAAGAGGACACGGATTCAATCGGAACGACCCCATCTGCTGGCAATGCTGGCAAATTCTTCCTCAGCCTGTGTGCTTGTATTACAGACCGTGAAGTTAAAATCCATGGATATGTGACAGTTTCCCATTATTTCTTAGGCTTTATATATTTTTACTTTTTCAGGGGGTAATGTTAGCTTGTAATAGCAGAGAGCACCTGATTTCTTCGTAGATGACTGACTTTCCCTTGCAAAACATGCCGTTGGATGGCACCAAGCGTTGCAGGTTTTGGTGTGCCATTGCCCTCTGCCGGCACAGGGGGACGAACCTGGCAGGTCCAGCCGCCCTCGAGAGGGTGCAAGCTCCTCTGTAACTATCGCTAGCTGAATTATCGGTAACTGAGCAAATGGAGCCTTAGCTTAACTGCTAGAAGGTGGTACTTGTGGGATCAGCAGGGCTGACAGCGAAGAGAGAAAGGTGAAACTTTAAAAAAAAAAAAAAAAAAATCACTAAAAAATCTTTGATGGAGACTTTTGGATTATACCAGTTGTTCCTGTTTGGTGACAGCGACATAAAATAAAACCAAGCAGCGTGTAGGCCTGTTGGGTTGTGAGTAGTGTCATCACTGTAGGACTGACTTTATCTGTAAATCTCTTCTAACATAAATGCTTTTATAGTTTGGAACTTATGAGAGATTTTCCCCTATTATATCCCCCTAGGTTTTTGGAAAAACAAACTGGTGATGCTTATCATTTAAGAATATGAGGATAATAAATATCTGAGATGTTTTACATTTGTAAATATCATGTTCTAAAGGATACTGAAAAGTTTTATGGCTTTAAGAGTTATTTTAACTGGAGGCACAAATAAAATGGTATCACTTATTTTAAAGCATGTTTAAATGTGCTAATTTTAAAGCATTTTTAAATGTGCTAATTCTGAGCCTGTATTTTCTCAGGTCACCATTATTGCAGATGATAACTGCAAGTTCCTGTGCTGGTCCAGGGAAAGGCTGACTTATTTTCTGGAATCTGAGCCATTTCTTTATGAGATCTTTAAGTATCTTATTGGCAAAGATATTACAAATAAACTGTATTCATTGAATGACCCAACCTTAAATGACAAGGTAAGCAACTGAAGTTTTGTTTGGGAATTTTCCTCCCACACACAAATGTATTGGTACTTCAATTTTAAAGCCTCTTAAAGCACCTTTTTTTAACCTGCTGCTATCAGCTGCTGAGGTCACACTCATTGCCTTTTAGTGCCAAAGTATGAGCCAGTGCAGCATTTCTGTCAGAAGCAATATTAGTTAAAGTTAGCACAGTAATGTGCAAGAAAGGTGAATAACTGAGATTCAGAACTGATCGACTAGCACAAATATTTCTAGCCAACTAGTAGACCTGATGGCCAGTAGATAAAAGGTGCTTCTCCCTGGATATCCTTTCTCATTAACAAATGGGTGCCTTTGTACAAAGAAGCTTCAGGGTTTTTTCTTAAAGAATTTGCTTGCTGGGGTCAAACAACTGGGTAATACTGATTGCCAAGAAGAATAATTTTAGCATGTGTTTCAGGGTTTGAAATAAAAAAAAAAAAAGAATGTTAGGTTGATACAATGTAGTTAGTGGAAGGAGGCATGAAATACATATAAAATATAAATACATATAAAATATTCAGTGGTCTGAATATAGCTCATTCCTCTTTGCATGTAGAGGGAGTGTGTTTTAGGTGTCACAGTAAGTGGTTTGGGTGTAGTCATGGATATATTGATTATCTTAGTTTACTTTCATTTTGTCTCCTTACTTAGTTACATGGCTTTTCAAGATTCGGATGGTAACTCAGCTGCTGGTGGTTTTTTTTATTATTTATGTAGTGGCTGTAGGGTTCTCATATATAATTTATTTGAAGAACTTTCACCATCACTTATGAAAAGCTTTATAATTTTATAATACAGTATTTTCATATTCTGTCTGTATTGATTTAACTCACACTAACTCAGAACAAAAATCCTTCTCATCAGCTTGCCCATAAATATCTCGTATATAGGTTAAATAGTTACTTCTGCAAAGTTGTGAATTTACTGGAAAATGCTCCAAAAGGAATGACTGCCACTGCTACTATACCACAGACATCAGCAGGCTTAACTTATAATGTCTTTATGGCTAATTAGACCCATTTTGTACTGGCTATAGAAAGAGAAAAGAAGGAATTGATGGAGAAACAATTTAATAGCAATAAAGCAGGGCTTATTCTGCCTTCTGGTCAGTGAAATAGAGGATTACACTGTCTTGCAATCAGATCCTCAGAACCATTTCAAATCACTGTCTTCATCTTACTAATGTAGTAAGATAAAAGTGATCTAGCGGGAATGTACCATCTATAAAATACATCTTATAAAATGTGTGGTTAAAGCATCTTTTTTTTATTTTTTTCTTTAATAAAAGGGAATTACAGGGGAACGTTCTGTAATAAAATGCATATCTACATAGACAGTAAGTCATTTCTGGAGAATTGGCATCTGAAAGGAACATGTAGCGACGTGCCTCTTGTGTGTGCATTCAGACTGCCTCTCCTGGGAGACTGCTGTTCTCCACACTCCTCCTCACCTTGCCTTTTTCCTTTTTTTCTTTTTTCCCCTCTTTTTTTTCCTCTTTTTTCCCTTTTTTTGTTTTCCTTTTCCTCTTTTTTCTCTTTTCTCTATTTTATTTTCTTCTTCTCTTCCCTCTTTCCTGCCCTCATTTTCTTTTTTTACACATGGATGACAGCATTAGGGTGTCATGCCTAGTATACAAAGACATCTGCAACAAACTTGTGCTGCTCACTGTAGAGGTTCAGCACTAGCATAAATATTTCTTGAAATGGAAGTATAATAGAATACTCATTGTAAGGTTGTAATTCATTGTTTTTAAATGAAGGGTCCTTATCATACCTTCTAAGTATTAAAAAAAAAAAAAACAACCCACAAAAAAACCCCACCGAACTTCGCTTCTCTTTTGACTTAACATCTGCACATTTTTATAAAAATAACAGCACAAGCATTTTTCATCAGCACATTTGTTTTGGGCTTCCTTGCCTAAAAGAGAGAGTAGTGAGCTCCCCCAGCTTCTGCCTCCTCCCTTCTAATCCTCCTGTTGTGTTGCAGCCATAGGCGTTGCTGTCATCGAATGGCAGTCCTTGCCTTGCTGTTTGAAAGGTTTCTTTTGATTAGTGCTGTGCTGTATGTGCACAGCCTGGAAAATCAAATGGATGCCCAACCTGTTGGGCTAGGCGAGATCAAGGCTGAAAGGGACTTTCTATTTCTGTACTTCACCTGTCTATATTTCCCACTGCATGGGAAATATAGCTATTATAGCTATATAATATATGGACAAGTCAGTATGAACAGAAAACTTCCATTTAATTTATTCCAGCTAATAACAGTTTTGACATTTCTATTTTTCGCTTTAATGCACTGAGTATATATTTTATTTGCCATCCTAAAATCTTATACAGATATGTAAATCTGGCCTCACAACTTTATGTATATTTCTTAATTAAATGATATTTTCACTTTAACTTAAGTTTGTACTAAGTCTTTAGTGAAAATAGTCACATGAGTTTAAGATTATTGTAACCATTTTATCACAATAACTTTTGAAAATGTATGTTATAAAAATTAAGAGTGAGCATTTGGGAAAATTGTAGTACCTTTTTATTCTTCCTCAAATGAAAGCCCCGTTGCACGAGCCCTTCCCGCATAACGTAGGACAAGAACTGTCTGTCAAGTACATTCTCCTTCATTTCCCCATTGCCGGCACCCTATGGGCATGTCACTTCTCACAGGCTTCATTGTCAAATACACATATTACTGGTGTCTTTAATGCTTTTTAGCTGGTGACAATCTGAACAGAAAATTTTGTAGTAGACTTCTGCACACAGGGGACATACAAGAGAACAACTAAACCAAATCCAGTATAGATTATTCATAACCAAGATGACAGCAAGAAGATAAGAATATGAATTCATTGTGTGTTGGAAAACAGAAAAGTATCCATTTATTTATAAGGAACCTTGTGATTTTCTCCTACCTAAGGAGATTTTTCACTACTGTTGGGAAAATAGTCGTTCCTCTCCACATGAAATAGGATGCTAATTCCTGACAAAGTTCAGTAAAATGGAGTTACCCGTTACACTTTTGTCATTGATTAGTACCTTTCACGTACACCTAAAATAGCATTCTGACTTGCAGTAATACTTAACAAGGTACAATGTATGGTTTCATATCAATATTATAGTACAAAGACTCCTCAGGAAAACTACTCAAAGCAAATGGAAGCTCCTAAGACAATTTGACAGGCAGCAGATGATGTTCCTATGATGCATTTAGTTTGTCTTCAGTAAAATCAAGAGCCAAATGATTGTTTACTAGGAAGGAATGACATCCACCATTTTCTAACATGATGAAATGAAAAGCCAGGAAAGTGAACAAGTTTCTGTTAAGATATAAATTGCTAAACTCTATATATAACGTACTGTTTTGTTTGGCAAGGAGGACCAGGCTCATCATAAAGGCTGTATTTAATTGCAGAGCATCATACCTGAATAATGAATTACCAAATAATAAATATCAGCCTCTCTGTAGGAAAATACATGAAAAGTCCAGTGCAAAACAGAATTAAAATTTAATAACTAATCTGAGGTTTCATGCTTGTCAGTGGTCGAATTCCATTATATTACTGCCATCTTCTATTTTCATTTAAATCAATTTACACTGCATAGAATCTTCTGCTCTAACCAGCTGCTTGATCCATGAATAGTTGTAGCTGAGACCAGAGCATCTACTACAGAGGAAATAGTTATTTTCCATTTTTATTTCAATTTACTTGATACTTTTTTAAAATAATATTTTTTTTTTTAGGCTTCAAAAAAGATTGATCGACAGCCTAGTCTTTGCTCACAGCTCTCTGTGATGCAGATGAGAAACAGCATGGCCAGTACCAGTGACAGTGAGGACGGCTTGCAGATGTTTCTTCGTGGGACTTCCTCTGCATCCTCTCTTCGTGAGTGCTCCAGATAGTTCACGACAGTTTTGAACACAGCTTGGTTGATCATTAGAGATGATTGTAGAACTCCTGTTGTCTTCAGTAGGAGCAGACTGTAGCTTTTTGGATGCTGCTGTACATCAGCTAAGTGGAAGGACCTAACTGTAGGGAATTCATAAGATGCATAAGGCTTTGCATACAAACTGAAGCTACCTCATTTAGATACTGGCAAAAATCAGCATGTAATAATTTTTGTCATAATGTGAATGTGTAGGCATAATATGGAATCTTTATAGCAATGGAGCAAAACTGTGAATGTACAATGCCTGTCACAGTAGTATCTCCTTTGGTCTGTGACTGGTGCGTATAGAAATTAAAAACCCAAACAGAACTTTTTCCCTTGGCAGCTTGGTGCTCTGCATTTCCTCCTGAGATAGTTTGTACTGGCAGGGTCTGGAGAAACATGGTGTACAACCGGTATTTTGATGCCACCTGGAAAATCTCCGAATATCCTGTCAGGCTCTCCTCCCTTGTGCTTTGTACAACAGGAGTAGTAGAGAACAGATGAAGTGATGGAAGAAACCGTATCTGACCTTTTTGCTTCTACTCTTGGAATTTATTCCTTTATAGAAACCTTCTAAATTATCCTTTCTAGGCTATTGTTATGTTTTAATTTTCTTGAATCTCAACTTCAACAGTAGTCTGAACTCTGAAAGCAGCTTTTGAACAAAAAACCCCAGAAGATGCTTAATTTTCTCATTTGGCATAAGCTGTTAGTTTAACAGAAATTAAAAGGATCATATAGGATTATTTATTTTGATTTGGGAAATAGTATTCTTTAGTAATTAGAATTCAAACATGAGGAAAAAAATCACTGCCAGTTATTCATTGTGGTTAAACTCTCTGCTAAGAAGAGAATGTGATTTAAAGTATTTGCACTTTCCCATTTAATTATCTGTTCTCCATTGTGTTCCTCACAGTTCTCATCCAGGAACTCCTTCAGATTTGGAGGGCATATCTGTTTTCACTCCTTAACATTGGTGTAATCTGCCTGCCCAGATAGATGGGAGCAAAAGCCTTGCTAGTGTTTCACCCTGCTAGAACGCTGAGGGTGACAGCTGGGGTATAGTTTCATGAAAATTCCAAAGTTGTTTTCTTTATTTCTCGCCTGTTCCCTGAAAGGACATTTAGAATCACAGAACAGTTGAGGTTGGAAGGAACCTCTGCAGACCGTCTAGTCCAACCCCATGCTCAAAGCAGGGCCAGCTAGAGCAGGTTACCCAGGGCCATGTCCAGTCAAGCTTTGGATATTTCCAAGATGGAAGATTCCACAGCCTCTCTGGGCAACCTGTTCCAGGGCCTTACCACCCTCATGGTGAAAAAGATTTCCCTTATTGCAACTCATGACTGTTGTCCTTTGTTCTTTAGTGCATGCCTCCGAGAAGAGTCTGGCTCTGTCTTCTTTGTAACCTTCCATTAGGTAGCCGAAGACAATAGTAAGATCCCCTGAGAACCTTCTGTTCATAAGGCTGAACACACCCAGTTCTTGCAGCCTCTCTATGTACATCATGTGCTCCAGCCCCTGACCATCTTGGTTGCTCTCCACTGCACTCACTCCAGTATGTCCATGTCTTTCTTGTAGGGGGAAGCCTAAAACTGGACACAGCACTCCAGATCCTGTCTCACAAGTGCCAAATAGAGGGGCTTCATCTCCTTCATTGACCTGCTGGCTATGCTCTTGCTAATAAGGCCCAATATATGCTGCTAATATGGCCCAATATATGGATGGCCTTCTTCACTGCAGGGGCACTCTGCTAACTCATGTTCCATTTTGTGTCCACCAGGACCCCCAGGTCTGTTTCTGCAAAGCTGCTTTCCAACCAGTTGATGCCCAGCCCATACTGCTGTGTAGGTTTCTTGTGTCCCAGGTGCAGGAATTTGCCTTTGTTGAACTTCATGTGGTTTCTGTCAGTTCTTGTCTCCGGTTTCTGAAGGCCTGTTCTGACTAGCTGCCCTACCCTCTGGCCTATCAACAGTTTCCCTCGCTACTTGGCTGTTGTCTGTGAACTTGGCAGGAGTGCACTCCATCCCATCGTTCAGGTCATTAATATATTAAACATTATAGGCCCTGGTATTGGCCCTTGAGGGACACTGCTGGTAACCAACTGCCAGCTGGGTTTTGTACCACCCTGTGAACTCGGCAGTCCAGCAAATTTTTTACCCAAGCTGTAGTCCATGTATCCAGTCCATTTTCTCACCCATTTGGCTAGAAGGATTCTATGGCAGGCTGCGGAGGGCCATGCTACAGTCCAGGAAAACAACATCTGCTGTACTCCCATCATCCACAACGCCTGTCATCTCACCACAGAAGGTGGTCAGACTGATCAGGCACAATCTGCCCATGGTACATCCATGCTGGCTGTTCCCAGTCACCTTCCTGTCCTTCATGTACTTGGACATGGCTTCCAGGAAGACAGGCTCCATTATCTTCCTGGGGACTGAGGTTAGGCTGATAGGCCGATAGTTCCCTGGATGCTCCTCCTTTGTTAAAATGGCCACAACACTGCCCTTTTTTTCTCTTCCCTGACTGCCATGACCTTTCCAAGATGATAGAGAGGGGTCTTGCAATTGCATCAGCCAGCCCTCAGCACCCTTGGATGCAGCCTATGTGATTCCACAGTCTTGTGTTTGCCCTGTTGACTTAAGTGGTCCCTAACTCAGTCTGCCTTTCCTTTCCTGTAAGTCAAATATCATTCTTCCAGTCTCTACCACTAGACTCAGAGAACTGGAGGCCTCAAGACAAACCTGTAAAGTAAAAACTGAAGCAAAAAAGGTATTGAATATCTCAGCCTTTTCCATGTCCCTAGGTCCTGAGCCTCACCAAGCCATAGCCTCACAGTTTCCCTTGTCTTCCTTTTGTTGCCAATGTATTTGTAGAAGCCCTTCTTGTTGCCCTTCACTAGATACAGGTTCAGCTGAGCTTTGGCTTTCCTAATTCCATCCCTGCATGCTTGGGCCATGTTTCTGTATTCCCCCCAAGCAGCTCATCCATACTTCATGTGTGTGTGTTTTGAGCTCTGTCAGGACTTTCCTGTTCATCTATGCCAGCCTTCTACCACGCTTGCTCAACTTTCTGTACACTGGAATGGACTGGCTTTGTGTTTTGAGGAAGGTGTCCTTGAAGATCAGCCATCTGTCCTTGGGTCCCTTTGCCCTTGCAGGCCATGTCCCATGGGTTCCTGCCATGTAGATCCCTGACCAAGCCACAGTCCCCTGTCCTCAGGTCCAGGGTTGTAACTGTACTATTTTTCTTACACATTTCTCAGTATCTTAAAATCCACCAGCTCCTGGACAGTGCAGCCAAGGTTACCATCAGCCTTCAGCTCCCTGATGAGTTCTTCCTTGTTCGTCAGTGACAGGTCCAGCAGAGCACCTCTCCTAGTCGGCTCATCGATCACTTCTGTGAAGAAATTATCTGCTACGCTCTCCAGAAATCTCCTGGACTGCTTGCACCCAGCCCTGTTGACTTTCCGCCAGAAACTGGGGTGGTTAAAGTTCCCCACGAGTACCAAGGCCTGCAATCATGAGGCTTCATCCAGTTGTCTAAAGAAGGCTTCCATCTACTTGCTTTTCTTGATTAGGCAGCCTGTAGCAGTTACCTGCCATGAAGTCGCCTGTGTTGGTCTGTTCTCTGATCTTTTACCCATAAGCTCTCGATTAGCTTTTCACCTGTTCTACAGCAAAGCTCCATGAAATTGAGCATAGAGCACCCTTGGACAAATTTACACACTCAGAAGCCTGAAAGAAATTGTAAAAATTTGTTTGTGCAATTAGCTAGAATTAAAATTCTTTTTCAGGCTTAGCAGCAAAACACTCTAACCGGTATTTCGGCTTTGGGAGCAAGTAATCTAAATGCATGACATGTTCAACTGTAATTACATTAATCCCTAAGATGCATCCGTGCTTAGCACATACTTGATAAATACACTTTCCTCTGTTGTACTTTTCTTTGGTTTGTGTACCATGTTTTCTGGTATATGTTGCGTACTTTCCCCAAAAGAGGGGTTTAAATGTCTTTTATGTTCCGAAATTGCTCAGTCCAACAGCGGTTGGTGTAGTTGATACTGCCACTGCCACCACCCCCGTGGCAACAGTAGGTGTGGCAGCAGCCTCCCGAGTCCAATGCTTCCCTTACTTTTGGGGAGGCAGGGGGGTTACCTGTACAGCAGTGTATCATACACCTCGGGAAATACCATTCTTTATTTCTCCTTTGCATTTTGATTAATGCAGAATTTCTGACTTCTATAGAAGGTTGATAAAAATTCCTGATGAAAGCTGATTTATCTCATTAAACTGTAACGCTTCAATCTTTCTTCTTGCCAAAATAGCTTGGTAGTTATTCCTGGGTACTGTCATTGCCAATGAGGGGTTTGCTACCAAGGTGAGCTCTGCTTAAAGATTTGTATTCAATGTGGATTGTGGCCACGTATGTACTTTTTCTCAGATCACAGGGAAAACTGAACAAAAAGCTGCCATTTGCCTTCCCGCTGCTGCGTTTTCAAAAACTTTCTCCTGGGAGCTCTCAGTGCAGCAGTCAGGTGGTTTTTTGGGTTTTTTGTTTGTTTGTTTGTTTTTTGGTCTGTTTTTTAAAATTCAGTATGGGGTGCATGCTGAGGCATACTGTCCCAGTGCTATTCTCCTGGATCCTCCCTCTGCAATCGTACCTTTGTTTATTAAAAACAAAACCCAGAGGATTTAGTAGGAGCCTATGGATATGACAAACTTTTTTTTTTTTTTTAATTAGAATAAGATATTAGTAAGAGAAACTTATCAGTACAGGAGCTCTAGAGGAATACTGTCTTGTCATTGCTAGGTGATCAATTGTATGGACAAAAGCTTCCCATTACAAATATGATATTTGATTACTATTGTACAAATAAGTTTTATTCTCCTAATTTCCATATTCTTGAAAAATTGAGCATTTATATTTTTGTCTAATCCAAACTTTTTAATTATATTTTTGTCTGTACTACAAACTATCAGCTTTGACTCATTTTCTAAGAAAATTAATATAAATTTTTTTTCAAAGTGTTTAGCAGTGCAAGAGTGAAAAATACTAATTAGTAGGCCCCAAACTATGATTACTAACAAAACTGTGTTTTGAATTTAATTAACTAAGAAACCCAACTAACTGTTTGCTTTTATATTAAGGAAATAACCAACAAGAGTTCTATAATGCTTTTGGAGCGAGTCGTTTGCAGCATGATGCTTTCTGTTGATAACATCACATTAACTCAGCAAGCATCCTCAAAAAGGTATTAAAGTGGGATTCGTTTATCACGTGGTACGTGTGCTTGACATCCGTGATCCATCTGTACGTAATTTATTAGTAAACGAAATTGATGTATCTCTTTTTCCAAAATTTGAGTTAAGCAGAAATAGTTCAATGTGATTACAAGGGTAGCTTCACCTAACTTTCAGTCCTTTAAAAAACATTTCAGTATTAGTTTCTATTCAATAATTCTATTGCTTGTCATTCATATACTTATTATTGATACTTATTATATATTCATATACTTGATATTGATATGCTACTTGGTTTAGATCACTCGGATTTGCTGTTCTATGAATCTGTATTTGCAAACTTCTAAGCTAAGCAGG